GTTAATACTGCCTTAGATTCAATGACTTTAAGTCACTATATACAAGTGTTTGAAATTCCGGGGTAAAATGCATACCTCCAGATGGGTGTAGACCCAACAGTTCTTCCAAAGCCAACTTTTTATCAGGTAGTTTTTTAATGGTAAATTTAAATACCACCCCCAATGCTTTGAAGACTTCAGTTCAGCGTCTATAAGAACTGACACAACATAGTCCAGACTGCCTCAGAGCTTTACTCTTTATAAATTCTGTTACATTTAAAAGAGATGGGCCGGGGAGATGGCTCAGTGGAATAAGCGCTTCCCTGGCAAGCGTAAGGGCCTGAGCTCAATCCCCGGTTCTGCCAAAAATAAAAAATAAAATAAAATAAAATAAAAGAGATGCATACCAAAATTTGAAAATCTACTTCCTATATTTTTAAACATAGTGTATGATTACAAACCTCACCTTGCTTAAAGTCACTGAGAAGTTCCTGATAGTGGGGCGCCCAAGACTAAGAACTATTTCATAGTGGAAGATAATGACAGGTAGTATTTGGACAGAAATAAAAATAGGATATGGTTAAAATGTTGGACTAGATGGTCTGAGATATTTATATTTTTAAAATCTATGACGTGGGTGGGTACGTTGGATTCTGGAAACCAGACAGTACAGGTATTTCAGTTTATACAGGCTCAATTCATTTATAGGCAGAGCTTTAGCGTGAAAAATATAATTAAGATGACCTATATTCAATTATATCAATTGGTTAGGAAAAACAAACCTTTAAACTCTTTCCCATTTGTTAAAAAGTTGACAGAAAAAACCTAACAGAGAATTCTAATTCTGCCAAGTATTTCTGAGAAATTGTTTTACAGAAAAAGGAAATAATATTTCTGATAGTTTTATTGCTACGAGCAAAGTGACCTTTCTGATTTGTCCCAGTATGGCTGGGGATGTGGGGACTGAACACGAAGCCTTCCCATTGAACTATATTTTCAAGCCTTTTAATTTTTTTTTTTTTTTTACTATCTGTTTTTTAATCTGGAGACAGCATTTCACAATTGTTCTTGAATTTGGGGTCCTGCTTCCTAAGCCTCTGCAGTGCTGGGACCACAGGTCCCGCGGCACGACCCCCGCGCCACGGTCCGTCCCTCTGTGCATCACGCCGCCGCTTCGGTCCCTGCGACTCGGCCGGGACAGCGGCAGCCTCGCCCCACTTGGTCGCCATCCCGGGGCAGGCAAACTGGGGTACAGCGCGGCTCGCCCCGCGCGCCCCTCGGGGCTCCCCTAACGCCGCGGCACCCCCGCTCTACGCTGGGCGCGGGAGGGAGCGCAGAAGTCTGCGGCCCTCCGCTCCCCACGGCCG